AATAATAGAGAAATGGAAGCCTTGGCCCAGTATTCTCCTTCCCATCCCACATAAAAATAGAGAAGGAACAGTACAGTGTGTTCTGGAGCCACGTCGGAGCCTGTCCCTGGTGTAAATCAGCCTTCGCCACCGTCAGAGGGCTGGATCCTTGGCTGGGACCGAGGGGAGTGAGGTCAGTGCAGCTGCTGAGCTGACAGCACCAGGAGTTTCTCCTGCCGAGCACTGGGCAATGACAGTGTCAGAGGGCATTTTGGAGGCTGCTAATCAGCAGATCCAAAAATCCAATAAAGTCCTTGCAGTAATTAAGAGAGGAAGATAACCACGTGTGTGTGTGTGTGTGTGAGCAAGAGAGGAGGGAGGGATGAGGACATCTTAGTGTCGGGGCAGGCTGAATTGAGCAAATCCTGTTCCTTCCTGCAGCTTGGGATGGGGTGAGGTTGAGCAGGGTGTGGGAAGGTCTTGGAATTGCTAAAAATGGAACAAGCCCATCTTTATACTTGCCACCAGCGTGCAGGTAGTGGCTGCCGTCTCCCTGCTTCCCGGGTGATCCAGGTTATTAAAAATGCAATAAAGAAGCGAGTCAGGGAGTGAGGTTCTGCGCACACAAATGGGATGCAGAACAATATCACCAGCTAAATCGATAAAGCTGGAAGGAGCTCAATAGCTGATGCAGAGCGCTGAATGGCAAACTGGCCATCTCACCGCTGCGGGGTGAGCAATTACCCGCAGCCACTCGGTGAGGTGCGACCGCAGCGCGGCAGCGCAGGGGAGTCTCGGGGGTTCGCCGCTTCACACTTTAAAAAACATTTGCTTATCAGGCAGCCTGTTATGACATTAATTATCCCCTGCTTGACTGGCCCTTCCCACACAGAAGGCTCCAGGCTTGGGAGGGAGGGTGTGATCGGTGGCGGTTGCACCAGGACAGAGGGAAGAGCTGGACGTCATCTGTGTGGTCTGCTGCAGCCTGGGAGTGGGTCACTTAGGCGCAGGTTTGGGAGGATGCTTCATTAATTATATGCCAGGGTGAAACAGGCAGGGCAGGAGGGGGGTTTCCATCAGAGACCCACCGGTGCACTGCAGGACCCCCATCATCAGTGTGGGCTGAGGTGGGAGAGGGCTTGTGGGTGCCGAGTCCTAGTCAGGATCAGCGGGTATGCGGTCTGAACGTGTGAGTCGAGAGGCTCACACTGAGTAATGCGCTTGCACCTTGTGGCTTTATGTTCCTAATGGAATGGAGACTATAGCCTGTAAATCTCCCGATCGTAACTCACAGCTAGCGACGCCAGAAAATCCAAGCTCGTGGCTTTAAAATCATGAATTACAGAGCCTGGCCGTGTGGCTTTTATTAGCCAGGTTCTCCCAATGATCTAAATGTTCGGGTCACTCCATAGGTTTTGTCTGCTGCTGTAAAGTGAGAATGCGGGTCGAGTGCCGCATGGCGCGCAGAAACCCAAGAGTGACTTCATCCTCTAATAACTCCTCCAGTGCTGTCTCCCAGGGAACCCCTTTGTATTCAATTAGCTAATGTGTGCCTAGCACTTTGAAAATATAGAGTGCCATAGAATTGCTAAGTGTTGTTATTTAACAGCACATATTTAGTGGTTGCAGCCCTGTAGTAGAAGTCAGAAAATCTACACTGTAATTGCCTGGTGCTGCTGCAGAATTTCCTGTGATTTGAGCAAAGCCTGGGGATTTTTCTTGTGTAAAAGTTCATTAATTTTGGCTTCAGATCCTCAGGCCTACTTCTTCTGAGATGTCATGAAACAAAATATTGACTTTTGTTGGGTGCTTTAAAAAACAGACTGAAAAGAAGGGGAAGAATTCAGGCAGCCAGGATTGGTGCACCTGAAATTAACCTTGGCGTGATTTTTGATGGTCTTCTCTGTGCCTCATGGTGCACTGGTTGGTGGTAAAGGAGCTGGACTGAGACGGAGGGCAAAGTGCTGGTCAACTATTGCGACTGTTCCAGTGCAAGGAGGGGAAAAAAATCATTGACAGTGAAACAGGGATTAATGAGGGAGATGCTGTTTGCACCCATCTCTTTGATTCACACCCTCTTGTGTTCACCAGGTGCCCTGATCTTGCCTGGAAGTGTGTGGTTACAAAACTGTGTTTGCACAGGTGGAGGAGGTAGGACAAGGCACTCCAGGGCTTGGAGTCCTGCTTTAAACAGAATCTGCTGATGGGTGTGAGTTATTTTCCTAATGGCTCCTTGCTCTTATTGCTTTGGAAAGCTATCTTCTAGCCTCCAAAAGCACCAGCCAGCACTGCAGATAAGGGAGAGGGAGAGGAGAGGGAGAGGAGAGGGAGAGGAGAGGAGAGGAGAGGAGAGAGGAGTACTCATAAATTCCCAAAATTACTATAAGTGTAAAAAGCACTTCCAAAAGTTCCTGAGACCTCACAGGAGTTCATGTTCCTGAGATGAAATGGTTGAAATGAGTTGGGGTTAAATACA